CATGCCCATGCCCGCCTATAAAGGCCTCCGGGGCGCCGGCGGGCGAGCCAGAGTCGCCATGGGCCAGAAGAGGGTGGCCCTGCTCCTCGCCGGCTGCGGCGTCTACGACGGGACCGAGGTCCACGAAGCCTCCGCCGCCCTGGTGCATCTCAGCCGAGGAGGGGCCCAGGTGAGGCGCCCTCCGACGCGCGGCTCCCCCGCCCGGACCTTCTCCGAGTCTCTGGAGCCCCGGCAAGGGGCTCGGCGCCGGCGGCCTCCCTCCTTAGCAAGGGGGTGGGGGGGGTAGGGCGAGCGGGTCCCGATCAGGCAGCCGCGGTTGCCCACCTCTGGCCGCTGCTCGCCAAAGGGAAGAGCGGGCGGAGGCCAAGGAGGGGGCGGGGGGAGGAGGTCGGACCCTGCCTGCCTCGGGAGAGCGCGTCCCCCTTTCACCCCCGAACTACGTGCCCGGGATGGGCAAAAGTGACCGCTGAAGCGGATGCGCTGTGGGTATGTACAGGATATGGGCCGCCTCCCGAGCGCCCGAAGGCGGCCGGCGGGGCGGTTGGGGAAGCGTCTCATCCCCGCAGAAGGGAACTCTTCCCGGCTCGGGTCCGGGAGCCATCCTTTTGGCAGACCTGAACACTTCATTAAATGGCAGGCTCCCAGTGCTTTTTGTTGTTGTTGTTAATTTGAGAGTCGCTCTTGTGGAGAAAGTGAATAGAAGCATTCCGGAGAGTGATGAACACTCGCTAAACAAACACTGGCAGATTTGCGCCAAGGGCAGGCTGGGCCAAGCACCCTCCCAGGTTTTCTGCCCATTCTGCTTCACCCGTGGGAATCCACCCGATCTCTGGAAGGGTGCTGTCAGATTGTTGGGGATTTCTCTGTGGCTAGAGGCGGTGCTTCAGGTCCCTGGGCAAGCCTCTGCCTCCACGGCAGGTGTCCTCGGCCGCACACGCTGGCGGGTAGAGATGCTCGCGTGACTGGCCCAGAGCACTCCTGGCCAGCTCTCCTTCCCTCCCCAGGCCGAGCTCTACGCCCCAGATGTTGTCCAGATGCACGTGGTGAATCACGCCACAGGGCAGCCGACGCAGGAGAAACGCAACGTCCTGGCAGAGAGCGCCAGGATCGGCCGAGGCAACGTCAAAGACCTGGCCAAGCTGGCCGTGAAGGACCTGGATGCCCTCATCATCCCAGGTAAGGGGGTTTGCCTCTGCGCTCATAGCTGAGGGGGGTAGCCAGAAAGAGGTTAAAAAGTCTGCAGATGGAAAAGCGAACTCCCGTAAGCCAAAGCTTCCCACGCCTTCAACATGCCAGAAGCCGCTGTGGTTTTTGCTACAACCGCCTCTCCTGCTCCGAATTCAGTGGCATCGAACCGAGACAAGAAAGGGGCTTCTTCACTGGCACACACTTTCAACTTACCCATGTTAGAACGTCTGCATCGTCTCCCAACTACGGTTTATTCACGACCACTGGGAAAGTAAACCTCACCAGGTGTCCCACCTCACCCGGGGAGGTCTCTAGAGATTGCTGCTCCCCCTGGCAACCCTCCAGGCCCCCCCCCCCGAGGAGAGGGCTGGCAGGCCACCGGATGCTTTCTTGTCCCTTTGCTCTGCCCCCAGGTGGCTTCGGGGTAGCCAAAAACCTTTGCACTTGGGCCGTGGACGGGAAGGATTGCACCGTCTCCCAAGCGGTGGAGGACGCCATCAAGGCCTTCCACGCGGCCAGGAAGCCCATCGGCCTGTGCTGCATCTCCCCAGTGCTGGCGGCTAAAATCCTTCCCGGTTGTGAAGTCACTGTCGGGCACGACACCGAGTGCGAGACGTAAGCATCGGGGAGGGAAGGACAAGAGGCAAGGCGGTGCTGATTCTGCCAACTGAGATGAGTTCTGGGTTCTAAATTCCTCCAGCTTTTGCTTTCACATTCAGAAAACATGTTATTGGCTCTCAAGGCTGGGAGGAAAAACCCATTTAAGACTGTGGGTGAATCGCCTGCAGAAACCCAAGAGCCACTGGGGTGGAAGAAGTGCCCAAAAAAGCAGACAGAGAGGGTGGCCGCTACAACTAACAAACCAACAGACTGTCTATGGTTAGGTTTGAAACGTTCCTCAAAACTGTTCCAGTAGGAATTGCTTTGCTGGAAAGGGCCCCTCTCTCCTTCTACTAAAGTCTCACCCAGTGCCCTAAAAAGCTTCTCTCTGACACCAGTTGCCAGAATCCCTTAGGAAGCAGAGCCATTGGAGGATTCTGGGTATTGTAGTCCAAAAAACCCCCCACCTTTTAGGAGTTTTGGTTTCAGTTGACAGCATGGTGTGGTGGCTGCAATGCCTTCCCTGAGCAGATGATAGGAGGAGGAGGCCACCCTCTCCCAGTCCCTTTCACTGACCTCTAAAAAACCCCACCTTTTAGGAGTTTTGGTCTCAGTTGAAAGCATGGTGTGGTGGGTGCAATGCCTTCCCTGAGCAGATGATGGGAGAGGAGGAAGAGGCTACCCTCTCTCCCAGTCCCTTTCACTGACCTCTAAAGCCCAGGCTGACCCCTCTCTTCTCCCCACAGCTGGCCCTACGCCAAGACAGCCGAGGCCATGAAGGAGCTGGGCTGCAAGCACATCAACAAGAACGTCAACGAGGTCCACGTGGACATCAAGAACAAGCTGGTGACCACCAGTGCTTTCATGTGCAACGCCCCCATCCACGAGATCTACGAGGGCGTCGGGAAGATGGTTGCAGAGGTGCTGAAGCTGGCCTAAGAGGGGGGTAGGCAGGTGAGGGGGGGTGCTCTGGCCACGTTTGCAGCCTGACCTCGGGGAACATCTTCTGTGGAGATCCTTTGCTTCCCTACGAAGGGGCCGCTGGGGGAGAGGAGGGCCCCCGCAAAGAAAGCACCCAAACCAGACCTGTCACGCTTTCACCCGCAACGGTCTTGTTTTCCATTAGGAGGAAGAAGCCCATGAAATACCAATTGGGGGGGGCAGGGGGTTGGCCTTGGAGGGCGTCCTCTATCACTTTCCCCACCCCGACCCAGTCGAATTTGCTTTGGGGGTCAGAGGTAGGAGCATGGCACACACCTTGGGCCTCCTCTTTGTCTACTGCCCTCCAATAAACTCTCAGTCATTTGGGGGAGTGGCGCAGAGAAGAGGCTGTTGTCAATGCGGCCCTGATCCATCACCCCACCCACCCACTCGCTCCTGTTAACCCCGCTTCCTTCCTGGACCCATCAGGCAAAAGGCAAATAGAACGACGAGGGCCAGGACAGGCTGGGCTCCCCGCAGACACCCTGTGAATGAAAGACAGGCAGGCAGGCTGGCTAGTGGGCGACTGTACCTCTCCTGTGCAAAATAAAGTGGGAAGCATCTGAAGCCGGCTGTCTTGTGTGATCCCTGCTCAAGTGCGCCCAGAGCCCAGAGGGCCTGCAAGAGAGAAGCAGAGCTGCAGGAGTAACTCCAGGGCCTTCCGCTTTTCAGAATTTGCTTCTGTGGTTTAGGTGGGCCTTGAAAGCTTTTTGCTACCATTGCTTTAGTCAGCAGAATAGCTTCCCTCGCTCATCCGGGACTGCTGCTCCAGTGCGACCCCCCCTCCTTTGTCTGGGATATTGCTTTGGGAGGACAGAGTCCGAAAATGCAGCCTTAGAAATAACGCAAATAGAGACACACAGAGAGAACCACGTAATCATCAACTCGTCCGTTGTTTTACATTTTTAAGCAGAATCATTTTCCTCCAGCAAGGTGTGACAGGCAGATGGGGGGGGAAGGTGCAATGTGACTGAGGGATGCTTTGGGGGGGGAGAAGGGGCAGAACAGCCCCAAATCTTAAGCTTCGGTGTCAAATAGTGGCTCCTTTTGCACAGGGCTGATAGCACGTCCCTTCTGCCACCCTATCCTGAAAGGGGTGTGTGGGAAATATTGTCCACAGAGGAACAGCACAGAGTAGGGCCACCCTGACCTAGGATGAAGCACATTTAATATTCCCTCAATAGAAGGCATGGACTAGAAAGGAAGGGCTGCCAACTCTCGCCCTCCCTTCCTCCTGAACACAGCCAGGGCTAGCCCTCCCACCCACCCACCCCCACTGAAGAGGAAGG